CCTGAGAGCGTGTGGCCACCGCCTGAGCAAGTGTCCAACCCGCAGCATCCCTGCAGCACAGCCAGGGCCTGGGCAGGAGGCCTGGGACGTGTGAGGAACAGACTGAACTTCCCCTACATTCCAGAGACGCTGGCTGTGATGTTCCCGTGTCATAGAGCAGGGTGGCATGTTTTCCTTTAACCTTTCCCATTTTTTCCTTATTTTTTTAATTGATTGTTTAATCAATTGTATTTGCTTTGAACTGTATGTAATGATCAGTGGGTCAGGGAAGCATCCAGTGCAGAGAGAGCATCCCGGAGTGGGGACACCCTAGTCCCTGCCCTAAGTGACCACAACAAGGTTGGGGGTCAAGCCCCCCAGAAATCCTGGGCCCAGCCTTGTTGGGGTTACGAGGACTCTGCCCCACAGGAGAGTGGAAGGGGAGCCCTTGAGGTCAGGCAGGCCTCTGGGTAAAGGAAGTGGGAGCGAGGACTCAGATCCTTTCATTAGCCCATTTCACTGGGGTAGTGTATAAGCCAGGAAAGTTCCCCACAATAGCGGGACCATTCCCCCGCTCACACTTAGCCGGTTAGTGTAGAGAAACACACAACTGAGTCAAATCAAAATGGAAACATTTTATAATAAAGCACCTGGGTATCCCTTCAGTCTTTCTCCCCTCACCACTGACTGTTGTCCCTCATTTACTATTGCCTCTGGCCTTGACCCACCTGGCCCATAGGTTAAATTTGTCAATGGTACCGGTACCTGTGAATTCCTGCTTGCTTTCAGCACTACCAGGAGTAAAGAATTTCCTCCTCTACTTTCCCTAAGCGCTTGCCTATATGAATGCTGCAAGGTTTACATAGCCCCGACTGACAGCAGCAGATTTTCTAAGCACCAAGCGTGGCTATTTTAACTCTGACACCCACTGTCAGCAATAGATGTAGCCTCAAAAAATCTCACCAAGGAGTTAAAAGCCAGGGTGCCGTGAGTCAAGGGCACTGCTTTGAAAACTCATCCCTATGTTAACGTTAAAGCAACCTGCTCGCAGTGTGAGTCCACTGAAAAGGAAATAATCCATTTTACAGCAATCCCAGTTACATAGATTTCAAAACTGGCTCCAGTAAGAATACTGAAAGGTGCTCACAGCACCTTCTCATCATTCTTCTCATCACAGCAAACCCTGCAAATTCCTGGTATTGTTCAGTCTCCTGAAACAGAGTGCGGCCACTACAATTCTTTTACCATCACTTTGTGCATAGATCAGAGCATGTGAAGCTTTGTCACCCCCCTAAAGTTGGTCAGGCATACAGCAACGGAAAGAAATTAAACAGAACATCTTTTGAAAGCAGCAGGTGATTACTGTTATGGAAAACTAGCAACCTGCTTTCACAGCAAAAACAGATGACTCCATGTGGAACAGGTTCTGGATCTCCTTGGATAATTATGGGGGTGATACTCAGCTCTCTCTCTCTCTTTTTTGCTGAGCCCTGACAGAGCCTGTTTCCTTTTGTTTTTCTAAGCTAGGAACTGGATAAAAACCTGCTCACTTGAGCTTATTCAAGACAAGACAGAGGTGATGCTTGCTGGCAGGAGAAAGCATTTTGGGGAACTAAATAAGGACTATGATTTCATTGTTATTGAGGGCCTTTATCCACCTCTTGTCAAGGTGATGTGCATTCTTGGGGGAAAGAATAGACTCTTCTCTGCTTCTGGATTTCCACATACCATGGCAGCTGCATTGCCTCCCCCTGCATCTTTATCTGGCCAAAAAATTGTGGCCATTCTGCTGCAGGCTAGATTACTTTCCTTTTCAAGCACTCTATTTTGGGCTACCCTTGAGAGTCACTCAGAAGCTATAACCAGTACAGAATGCAGCTGTCTTCTTGTTAAAAGGGACAGCATGATGAGAGCGCATCACACCAGTGCTCTGATATGAATAGGCAATGCAGAACAATGAGAGCTCTTTTAAAAATCTGACCCTAAAAGCCTAAATAGACTAGGGATCTTGTATTTTACAGTTGGCTTCTTCCTCTGTGCCCTGTCACAGCTGCTGTCACTAAGGCTATTTCTGATGTCAGTTCCTAGATAAAACTCCTGGGGACCAGCAACAGGGTGTTCTCAGCTCTAGAATTCACTCTCAGTGATCTGGCATGGCCCACATCTTATTACTTTTGTGTGCTATATAACCTCTTCGTTCATGTTCCCTAACTATGAATGCTGGATTCCTCCAGCAATTACTCCCCTGCACAGGTGCGGAGAGCAGGATACCATATTGGAGAGCAGGATTTTGCCCCAGTCCCTAATTCAGCAATCAGTGCATTGTAATTTAAGCCAGGAGTCCCACTCAACCTCACATAAATGCATAAAGCCATATTCAGCTGTACTGTATACTACCTCCCATCAGAAAACAAAAAATAAAAGTACACATACATTTTAAAGGCAAGCAGACATGCTTTGAAATGGAGATGACACAATTCTGTTCCAGACAAAACTCTTGAGACACCAAATAGATTTTAAAAGATACTTCCTTTAAAAAAAAAGTGAGAGAATGAGTTGCTGGTGACATTTACAACTTCATATTTTTTTTAGACTGAAAGTGATTTCCCATCCAAATCCAAGTTAGTTAAGCAGATTGGCTGTAACTGTAACACCACAGCTTTTGTGAAAGACTTCTTAAGATTTGTTTCTGCACAGATAGGAGTTCCCCCTATGTAAATGTTCTCTACTCATACACACAGGCTTCCTGTACGCACACCCAGAACTGCATCATACACTTACTCGCCACGCTATAGTCTGTGCAATTTGACACACTGACATGCGCTATACACACAAATAAAAATAAACCTACCCTCACTACTCTACATACAGACATTGGACCAGATTTTGGCTCCTGCTCCCATTGGTTTGCATCGCTATGGTTTGGCAACAAAAAGGACAAAAAACTTCCTCCTGGGAAGTGCCAGTGTAAAAGGGTTATCCTAGGGTGCTGCAGAAGTAGCATAGCTGTTCCATCAGGGGAGGTCCCGAATGACTGGAAAAAGGCTAATGTAGTGCCCATCTTGGAAAAAGGGAAGAAGGAGGATCCAGGGAACTACAGGCCAGTCAGCCTCACCTCAGTCCCTGGAAAAATCATGGAGCAGGT